CACACACATACCCACTTCGCTGGGCCTAAACATGCACTAGCAAGTTATTTTAGGGCTTCAACTCTTCAGAAAATCTCATTATGTGAGGAGCGAAGTGGCTCTGCGGGGAACATTATGGAAATATCTGGGCTTGATTTAATGAGGCTGTTCACATTGGTGGAATATCAACTTAACAGAGAAAAGTCTACCCAGGGCGTCCAAGTTACCAAAATGAAATTGGCAATTGAGATGATAAGAACGTGGCTTTCTTCTGCGAAATCACTTCAGGTAACAGAGATAACATTAAATAACATACATTCTATGCACCAAGAACAATGTTTTATGTACCGAGTCTCTTATCCGTCTCTCCTAATGACTTCCCTTAGCGGGTTGTTAGTACTTGACAGCAGGTCTCCGTGCGGGGAACTTTTCTCCAATTCCACATTCAAAGGAGGTCCATCAGAGAGCATGATTGGCAATTTTCGTCATAATCTGCACATTATTAGCATCAAAATTGACGTGGCAGTTAACACTGGTGGGTTTTGATGTACCTTTCTTCAAGTTCAAGTAAACCCCTCCAGTAGCCAGGTTGGCAGAGCGGGTCTCAGCAACCCAGCGGTGGCTTTGCAGAGGCGAAGGCGCAATAGACATGCGTGAGAAATATGCCAAGAACCATTTCACCCGAGGAAAAGCAAAGCGAGGAGGGAAGAGGACGAGGGGCATAGAGAGTTCTAACTTAGAAAAGTGTCTAAGGAAATGCTTTAGGATAACACTAATATATCTAGAGATTCAAGTATTTCCCAGATCGAGTGGAACCCGGTAGTTGGAAAACTGAGCTGAAAAAGCCTCTTCAAATACTACAGCGATCTATCAATCTTGCCCCCACCCCCAACCCCTTCTTTTCCCTTCCCTGGCCTGGCTGTGACATCCTCTTTTGCCATCACTTTTTGCATAAAATATGCAAGATACTTCCATTCCATCAGCACTGAAACCAAAGACCAAAAGAGAGAACGGTGTTGGACCGAGAAGGAGGCGGCGCAACGGCCACCCCTTCCAGCACCTCGGGTTTGTCCTTCCCGGGGAAGGCGGCCACAGCTCTACCCGCCTTGCTCCTGAACGCAGTAAACAATCTCACAAACACAACCGCCGCTGCCCAGGCTCTCCATCCGCCCTCCCGGCCTTCTCAGACCTCCGTTCTCCCGCTCTCTTCGGGCAGGGTCCCTAACAAGCTCAGGCTGAAGAAACATTTGCCACCTCCCCCACCCTCGTTGAAAGAAAAGGAAGGATGGAAGAAAAAGAGCAACAGCGAGAAACCTCCGGGGCGACTCCTCCCCCGCCCCCAAGCACCAGCGCACAGCATCCCCCTCTGTCTTTGTTGTGGTTCTCGGCTGCTTCGGGCCACGCGGTTCAGCCAAGCAACCCGGGCCTGAGAGCGCACAGCCAGAACTAGCTTAGGGGGCGACGGGTTTGTCTTTGGGGAACCACGCGCTCAGGACAGAGGTGGCAAGTGGGTCCTGGGAGCCAGAAAACAGAGAAGGGCAAACGGCTGGGTGGCAAATACAAAAATAGAAATAATTTAGGGGGATGCCTGCCAGGCTTCTGCGCCTGCTCTTTCTCCCCCAATTCGGGGCAGGTTCCCTTCGGCCTCCCGCACCCCGGGGCGCCCCCTGGCGGCAGCGGTAGCAGCGGGCAGCGCGCGGAGGGTTCAGGGGGCTCACAGGGGACTCCCGGGCACACTCAGAGCGGCGGGCGCGGCCCCCTGGCGGTGGCGACGTAGTTATCTGGTGAGCGGAGCCTCGTCCCTCTGGTCCGGCGGGCTCACGGCCGTCTTACTAAGCACCGCGGCCGAGTATGGCAGGAAGCCGCTCTCGGAACGCGGTGCCGCCGCGCTGCAGCCGAAGTCCGAGCCTCCTCCGGCCCCTGCGCCCCCGCCGCCGCCGCCGCCACCACCACCGCCGCCACCGCCACCCCGGGAGCCAAGGGCCGCGGCAGCTGCTGCCGCGGCTGCTGCCGCCGACTGACTGCTGTGGCAACTGAGGCACGAGCAGGGTGCAGAGCCGCCGCTGGGGGGCGCTCCGGCCGCCGCCGCGGAGGAGGCCGCAGCCGCTGCCGCGGCCGCGGCCGCGGCGGCCGAGGCCGCGCTGTTGAGCCCTGCGGCGGCCGCGGGAGCCTGGTAGAGACCAGGGTGGCGGAAGCTACATAGCAGTTCCGGCCGAGAGTAGGGGTGCGAGAGGGCGCGGAAGGTGTCCAGTGGCCGGATGGAAGTAGCGAACGGCGACGAAGCTGCGGCCGCCGCGCCAGAGGCTGCAGCCGCGGCCGCCGCCGCCGTGACGCCCACGTGCGGGTAGTAGTGCAGCGGCACGTGCGAGTGGAAGGGGTAGGGCAGGCTTCCGGTGGCGGCCGCGTGCGTCATCATGTAGGTGTAGAAGCTGGGGTCCGCTGGGTGCGGCCAGGACATCGCCAGGCGCTGCCGCTTGTCCTTCATGCGCCGATTCTGGAACCACACCTGCGGGGAGAGACGCGCCGCAGCCCGGGTTAGGGAGCGCCCCATGTTCCCTGCTCCTGTCCCGGGACCTCTGCCCCTCCCGGACCTCTGAATGGCTTGGCCTACTTCTCTCCGACCAAGCCCAACCGCGAGTATCCTGTGCTCTCCCAGCTGGGAAAGTGTGAACGGCCGTGTGTGGACCGCCGTGGGCACACCGTCCTCAGCGAAGAGGGTCCTCTCCCCCGCGTCCGGTTGCTGCGGCTCCTCAGGCTTTTACTCCCTTACTTCTTGCTGCGACTTTTTTGTCCCAACCCAACCTTTCCTCTCCCTCCTGCCACCCACCAGTGCCGGTCTCGCCGAGCACCCCTCTCTCAATCCCAGGATTTGCACGGGGATTCTGGGCAGCCTTTGAAGAGAGGCTGCCGCTCAGCTTTTCTGAGAGGTCTCCGCGCGAAGTCTTGAGCCCTCAGAACTGCAAGGACCTGTCCCTAGGGGCACGGGTCCGATTTTGATATTGAAGGGATGATTTCGTTGGAATCGTTTGCCTTAAATGAGTGGGTAGAGCAATGTCTCCATAAACGGGGAACGTTACGTTTCCACCCCTCCCAACACTATCTAATAAAGACATCATTCGTCACAACTCTAAATTAAAGAAAGCCTGATCAAACCACAGGGAGACTTCCACACTCCTCCCCTACCCTGTGGAGTTTTTTTCTTTTTCTGCAGTGTCGAACGCTCCATGAAGGGCTCACCAAATCGCCTAACCTCCCGGCTATCTCTCCCAGACGTATAATAAAATTAATAACCTAAAGTTATATATAAATAAGGACAATTTCGTTGCATTTTTCCCCGCAGGAAGTTGCCTTTTTTTCATTGCCCAAGAGGAAAATGTTTAGGAAACTACTGTCTCAAACCAATCGATTTTTAAAATACAGTATCTTTTTCTCCATGTAACGATTTATGCGGAAAATAAATCTCCAAGCTCAAGAGCAAATGAAAAGTTTCATCTCTGGTTCCTGCTTGAGGAACAAAGACCAACTGGGCTTGCCGCCTAGGGGAAAGTGGGGCCGTGGATATGGGCGAGGGGGCATCTCGCCAGGCGTTGGGCACAATGGAGCAGAGGCAAGTGCTTTCAGCATTGGAGTGACCATTCGGGGGCCTTCTTAGATCCGTCAGGCGGGACAACCGTTCGGATTCGGTAGCCGAGAAATAAATAAGCCAATTCCTTTGGTGACTACCCCCCGCGGATTTCCAGACCCTCAGCTAAATCTAGCCACCCAGAAAGGGGAAAGGGGAAAAAGAAACAATCAACCCAGATGCCCCCGGGGAGGCCAGAGCAGGCACGCACTGGAATCGATACCTTGATGGTGGTTTCGGGCAGGTTGAGCGCCGCGGCCAGCTCGCACCGGCGGGGCCGCGACACATAGTTCTCCCGGTAGAACTCCTTCTCCAGGCGCGCGATCTGCTCGCGGGTGAACGCCGTACGGTAGCGCCGCACTTGATCCGCGCCAGAGCCGGAGCCACCCAGCGCCGCGACCCCGCCGCTGCCTCCGCTGCCTCCATGCAGGCTTCCAAGGCCTGAGCCCGATGCCGACGTCGTGGTGCCGGCAGCCGAGCCGCTCTCTGCGTACCCTGGCAAACAAACGGCCAACAGCGCATGAGTGGCTGTAGGGCCAACAGCCCCGCGCTGGTGCTGCGCTCGGATCGGGGAAGCCCCGTCAGGGAGGAGAGTCGCTGCCTGAATTGATGGGGTCTGTCATGCTTACAAATTGCTGCGGTTAATGGAATCAATAAAGTTTGGGGAGCCCTTCATAAGCAAATAATAGAAACTGAATTAGGAGATTTCTTTTTTAATAATTAGAAATTGTCAACTAAGGAGGAAAAGTGGCGGAGGGAAAATGCCTACCTCTGGGCGCAATTTGGGAAGCTCTGGGTTTGCCATGGTCTGGAGACCGCGGGGCAGCTTTCTGTACGGCCTCTAACCTTTATTGAGTCTTCGGGGTTTCGAATATTTTAAGAGTTCCAAGACAGCAGCAGCTCAAACCCAAGCCAATAGGGGGTGAAATCTACTTTTCAACTCTCTCCAGCTGACCTTAGCAGAGACGCCCAGCGAGGCTTCCGCCGACTTACCCAGAAGAATGCCCCCTCCATTCGGCCCTGAAGGCTCAGAGGCACCGGAGTTCAGAGTAGTTGCCCAGGGTACCTTTTCCAAAAGCAACTCGGCTGCTGACTAAGTAAGGGTCTATCGGCTCGCTCGGGCTCTCAGACACAAGCGCAGAAACATTTTCTCGGACTCAGGAGCGAGGGCGGGTGGGCCTGGTGTTCCAGGCTCCGCAGGCCTGAGCCTTGCGGGAAAACTCAAGGAGCAGGACGGGAGGGCACGGTCCCAGACATGCGTCCCGCCCCCGCCCGTGCTAGCTCGGTGCAGCTTGCTAGTGGAGGGTCTGAGAGGGGCAAAGGCACCGGGAAGGGCTGGCGGGGCCCGCGGAGGAGCAAAGAGGATGGGAATGAATTGCGCGGTGCGGCCGGCGCGGTTACCTTTGCCATTGTTTTCCTTGAGCTGAGCGGTGCCTAGGCCACCGGGGGAGCGCAGCGCGGAGCAGCCCACCTCCACGTCGCTGCTCATGTCCGCCTCGGCGGCCGCCTCTGAATAATGGCCCGGCTTCTTGCGGCTCTCGGCGGCGGAGGAGATTTCGGAGGAGACGGTGCTTTCGCTGCCCGTGTGCTGCAGGTTGAACAAAGTGTCTATTTCGAATTTGCCCTTGGCGGGGAGGTCTCCCAGAGCGCCGTGCAGGGGGGCAGACGGCAGGCGCGGGCTGAGGCGAGCCGGGTGCTGCGAATTTTCCAGGGCCTCGAGCACAGCATTGCCAGCCGAGTCGGACAAATTGGAGAATCTCTTGCCAGCCGTAGGGCTGTGCAGCCCTCTTTCCATCAGAATCATCTCTTTTCTTATTCTTTCCATCATCTCAGCTTTCTTAAAAATGTCACAGTGGCCCTGCTGTCCCGTCCTAATGATAGGCTGCGCCTAGGGCTAATTCTCATTCAGCCCCAGCGAACGCCTCTAAATATTATTATCTCTTTCGGAGGGAGGCGGAAAAATTGTGGGATGCCAGAGCGAGGGAATGACTGGTCAAAATGACCCATACATCCTTCCGAGCCCGAGATGTCATTCATCAAAAAGTAGCGCCCGCTCGTCATTAAGGTACGAATGACGCTGTTCGAATAATCATTTATTGTAACAGGTTTATAAGCAAATAAATACACGCTCCTGTCAGTGGGTAATGAAGGCAGCTTCAGAGCAGACAAATAGATCCAGGTAGGAGGCGAGAAGAGACAAGTGAGGAGGAAGGCTCCGGTCCTTTGCCCGCTCGGAGCCAGTTCTGCTCGCCCGGGGGTTTGGCCTCGGGGGTGAAATTGACAGTCTGATTAATAGAGCGCGCCGCGGCACATTTCCCCCTTCATTTAGGGGCATCATTACGCTCTCAGTTTGCTGGGTTGCCCCTTAGGTCCTAATCATGCAGCGCCTTCATCATTTTTCCTTGGACACAGATATGTATTAAATAATAGATAATGGTTTGACTTTCCAGGGTAGATCCTCGGGAAGGTTTTTTTTTTTTTTTTTTTTTTTTCGTTTTGTTTTAACATTTACAAGCTGCGGGCGTAAGTGGGGGGAGATAAGGGGGAGGATGCAGGAAGAGTTGCGTAAGGAGAAGACCTTGCGCCTCTCCTGTCTGGATTACTTATCTTTCGGTTTTCAGAACCAAATATGTATTTTATTTAACAAATAGGACGCCGGAGTTCTCTCCCTCCCTATTTCTTCACCTCAGCCTGAATGCTCTCCTCCCACCCCGGGGGTGGGTGGATGGGGAGAGGGAGAGAGCGAGACAGAGACAGAGACAAAGACACACACACACACAGAGAGAGAGAGAGAGAGAGAAAGAGAGAGAGAGAGAGAAAGAGATCCTAGAGTTTTGAAAGCACTTTCTTGCTACGTGGCCGCGGAGGTGCATTGGGCCCGCGCCTCCAAACGGAAATCATTAGGTCCTCTCTGATTTTCTAACACTGTTTGCAGAGTGAGATCTGAACTCGAAGTCCCCGGTTTTTTATTTTTATAATCCTGCTGATAGCCTTCTCGCCTACGCATTTTCCCGAGGGGAAACGAACTAGGCTGAACGGTTTGATAGCAGAATTCGACAGCTAACTTTAAACACAGTGGAGATTTACAGCGCCATACGGGCGCTCCAAATCCACTTTCACGTTGCCAGATTTTCCCCTCCCTCCTCAAATGGAATTATTTGCGGCAAAGGCGCTGGACTTCGAGGTCAAAAGAGGAAAGAGGAGACAGCTTTCTTCCCCTACCTCCCTGCTGCCCTCCCTTTTCTTCCTTCTCTCTTTCCTCCCCTCATCAACCGCAGCCCCTTACCTGCGGCCACAGGTATTCCCAGCGTTGAGTCCGGGCGCAGAGAGTCGCCGAACAGTCTTACCACAGCTCTCTGCGGCCTGGGCTTGGCGGCTGAGCCTCTTGGCGATAACTTTGATTGTCATAATGACGCCGGTGGCAACCATTTTAAGAAAGATCAATCTTCACTCAAGGCCGCTCCTCATCTCCCGCGGTTGCGCCCAACCTTCCCTGACCCTCCAAGCACTGTGCCCGCCCGCCAGCGGCCCAACGGGAGAGAGATTCGCGGACACTGGCGGAGGCGAGGGAGGACGGGGATGGGACGCGGAGGTCCGCCCGTGAGCTTCTGAAGCGGCTGAGAGACCCTGACAATCTGGGCACTGGGCGCGGTCCTGCATCCCCGCATTTAGCGTCAACCCAGACCCTAACCAGGACCCCCTCCTCTCCTTTCTCCGGACATACCCAGAACATTGGGGTGCGTTAGGGGGGCAAACTCGAGATCTATTTGCCTATGGTTCTTGGCGCTTTCCTTTTAACCTTAGACCCGTTGGGGGCGCGTCAGGAATGTAAGGGGAGGCGAGGTGTGAAGTATATTTATATACATATATACACACATATAGTCAATGCCAAAAGTTTATCTTCTCTTCCCCTCGGCGCCAACTTATTTCCACAACGCGAGCTTTGCTTAGAAAATCAATTCCACCTATTTAAGGTAATAAACGGAAAGCTCGATAGACAGGAGGTGCCTGGGGGAAGGGGAAACCGGTGGGGAACGCAGAGTGAGCATCCGGCACCGGAACTGGGACTTGACCCAGCGTCCATCTCTGCCCCTGCCCCATTGGCCACCCAGCTCCGAGCTCCCTGAGTTCTCATTGCGCCGGCTTTGGGGACATCAGCGCGGTGGGAGCCCAGCCCTGCCAACGCCCCCACCTGCTCCCTCTCTGCTCCGCAGCCGGGATGCCCAATTCTACGATGCCTTGCAGTCGCTGCCCCTGTGACCCGGGAAGGGTCCCCCTACCCAGTCCTCGCTTGCTCCAGGGACTGAATGAGACACCTTGGTCCAGGCTTGGGTCGTGCTGGGTTGGTGGTGGGGGGGTGGGGTGCAAGACCCTGGCGGGAGTGTGGGTGAGCTGAGGCACTGCTTGGGCGGAAATCCGTGGATGCCTTTATTGCTGTCGTTTGGCGCCCCCATCTGTTTTCCTCGCGGTTTCGTCTGCTGTGAGTTGGTTTTCAAGTCGGAGACGCAGTCATTGGAACTAAGGTGAGGACTGACGACGCCCTCCTCTATCACTCAGCCCAAGGGTCTCCCACATCTTCCCTTCCTCTGGGACATGACGCCTCTGGTCCCAAAGGCTGCGCCAAACCGGACCTCAGTCTGTTGAAAGGGAAAACACTGTTTCTCAGCAACACCTTCATTCATTAGTGGCTTTGAAAACTATTTTTGCACCTTTTAAATTACACTGATATTGCATTTCTAGCACGTTTATTACAAAAAAAACATGTCAGAGACCATGTCAGCGAAACTACTCACAGTAAAAGACACCTATAATGTTTCCACTAAACTGGGTGTAGCAGGCAATAATGTTTCATGGGGTACAGTGACCATTCCATTCCAATATTTAATGTCCGTTTATTTATTTAGAGATTCCACACCCACTAGTAGTAATATTGGCTAACTTATATGAAGCTCTTACTATGCAATTCCAAGTGCTTTTTACATGTTATCTCAGCTAAGGTTCACAGCAACTCTGTGAGATTTGAACTATTATCCCTTTTCCAGAGATTATGAGCCAGAGGGGTTCAGGGACTTGCTCGTGATTTAAACTTATATCCGATGACAAAGTCAAAAGGGTTGTTTAAAGCCTTGGGCAGCATTTTTTAGGTTAATACTCTCATTTTGCCTATGTCTTATGTAAATACAGGCCTACCTCAAAAACACTGAACCTATATAGAGGGTAGTAAGAAGAATGCAGTTCCCTTTATTTGTGTGTGTGTGTGTTTTGTTGTTGTTGGTGGTGGTGGTGGTGGTGGTTTTTGTTTGTTTGTTTTTAAGACAGAGTCTCACACTTGTTGCCCAGGCTGGAGTGCAGTGGCAAGATCTCTGCTCACCGCAACCTCTGCCTCCCGGATTCAAGCGATTTTCCTGCCTCAGGCTCCTAAGCAACTGGGATTACAAGCATGAGCCACCATGCCAGGCTAATTTTTGTAGTTTTAGTAGAGACAGGGTTTCACCAAATTGTCCGGGCTGGTCTCGAACTCCTGACCTCAGGTGATCCGCCCGCCTCAGCCTTCCAAAGTGCTGGGATTACAAGCGTGAGCCACCGCGCCCCGCTCTATTGATGTTTTTTGATGAAATACCCAAACTTGCACCTCTCCCAGAATGTGAAGACCAAGGCTGGGAACAGGCCTGTCAAATGTTCCGGGTGGTTTGATGCAGCCTCTGTGACCGTCAAGGCCTCTTACCCACTACCAAGGTACAGAACCCACTAGATAAAACAAGACAAGAATCCAACCTAAGCGTGCATGCTTTGGCAGAAATTTTTAAGATGCTGTGGGGAGTACAGGAAGGACTTCCTTCGCATGGACTGAAAAGCCCTTTTTGTTCTAAAGGGGTAATGACTTTGAAGAGGCCTAATTTTTTGGTTCGGCTTCCAGACTAAATATTTGTTTCTTGAGCAGCAGCGGGTCCTCTGAGGTGAAGTGGTAAACACTTTTGGCCTATGACTGCGGGTAATAAAAATCTATCCAGGCCGCCCGAGGGGAGGGGCGCCGGTAAAGCCGGAGCTGCAGCGAAGCCCGGGGTCTGCCGCTGCCGAAGCCTGGCTCTCCTCTTACGCTGGGGGCTACGGGCAGTTGGGGCCGACAACCTGCGAGCCCGCCTTGGGACGCATGCTCGCTCGACAGCTGGGGCTGCAGGGTGCGATGGGACAGTAGGACCGCGAAAGCCTGGGCTTCGAGCCTCGGGCTCCCTGTCTTTAGGCAAAGTGCGGTTTCCACGGCTGCAGGTTTCGCTGCATAAGGGAAGACTTGGATTTGGCGACTCCAGTCCTCACTTCGCGGTGGCAACTTTATGCTCCCATCCCTCGGTAGGCCAGCTTCTAGCTCTCTGTCCCTTCCGCGTCTCTCCGGTTGCTTCTGTCTTTTCTCCTCCCTCTTCCGTCGCAATCCCGCGCCCCACGGAGGACGGTCGTGGTGCGGGAGTTGGGGGATACCTTCTTCCTGGGCTCTGGGGCTACGCAGACCCGTCGCCTGCCTGGAGCTCCTGTGCCCTCAGACGCCACGGGAAAACTTGCAGGGACATCTAGCGCCAAGCGTGGGGAACTGCGCGCCGCCAGGCTGGGAAGTGGAGCCGAACGCTGCCCCTCCGCCTCCCTCTCGGCTCCCCCTTCATACTTGGGTACTTTCCTCACCTTCAAGCCTTTGCCCTGCCGGTAAGGACAATGTCGATTCCCCATAGAGACAACGGACTCTGCGGAATGGAGATAGGTAGGTAGACAGACATTTTCTTTTATCTCAAGCGACGGACAGAGTGAGAATTTACTGGACTTAACAATGGTTTTGCTAGGGAAGTGTATTCCAGGGACAACCCCTCACCTTGAGACGTCGGATAAAACTACAGCAAATTAGGGTCCTAGCTTTTATTTTCCAAAAAAGGCAACAAGTTACTCTGGGCCTCCAGCTCCTGCCCCACCCTCCTGCGTCCCTTTCACAGTGAGATTAGTGCTTCTCTTCAAAGGAAAAAATCCTCACTG